AAGCACTTCATCAGTCCCAATAAAAAGCACACTAATATGGATACAAGTAGTGTTCGTGTCTTCTAAAAAATATACAATTTAAAATCGTCAGTTATTGGCAAGCTCGTTTTATAACATTTCTCGACTAATGTCACTGTTGGATTCGCCAATAGACAAGGAAGCCTTGGTGTTAAAGACTTGTGCACGTCTCATTTATCAACCTGGGCCCTGGATACAGAAGTCGGATTTGTGCTATTAGGCAACGCCCTGTAAAAAAGAAACCCAGGTTCCCTGCACACTATCATTCCGCAGGATGCGTCAGACTTGCAATATTGAGTGCCCTTTCAAGGTGTGGGGGGGACGCAGTCGGCAGGTCCCACATAAAGGCTTGGTGGGCACGAATACTCAAGCACACCATAACACAGTCGATTTCTATTTAAATTTGAGGTCCCCTGGCTCGGCACAGTTGTATTTAAACTATCCTCATTGAATTGTTCGAGAGCACATTGAACATTAATTAAACCCTCTTTGTAAATGACACCTGGGGGGATAGTTAAATGAGAGTTATTTCTGACAGTTGTGTAAATTGTTCAAATGTGGACTTTGTGACACCAAGGCAAAAACTTGCCAATTACAGGAGGGCGTTAAGCATCCATTTTCCAGTATTAAAAATGACATTTCACAAATATCCAGCAATGTCCAGAAGAAATTACCAAATGGCTTAAACTGCCCACCCTGTTGAAAGCGGCCCAGTGATGACAGCTCTGAACAGAAGGTTTATTGAACTTAAAGTGCAGCCTGAACGCCCATTTTAAAATGTAAATCCATTACATGTGTAATTATAAAAACACACATCTCATGGATTTCTGCTAAGGGAATAGCACAAAAAGGGCATGTAAGGGCAGTTGAGCCTCCAGTCGAAATGTAACGTCAGACTGTAAAACTATAAAAACACAAGAACAAACTGGACCACGTTTTCCACATACACTTGCTTAAATAAAAAGACTGCGTTTAGTGATTGTACAGTTTTCTAAAAAAAAACAGCGAGTCCCTTTCAGTTCGCTGACAGACCAACCATTGAACGAAGCCGTTCGCTTCAATCTCAAGTACAGGGGAGTTGCTGTTGGCATCATATGATGCTGCAGACCATAAAATCAACGGCCACAAACGCAGACATTATTACTCTCCAAGCACCTTGATACCACGAAGGTATACGATAACATTTAGAATAAAGGGAAATAATAAAAGTGGATAACGTCACGGTGAAATGGTTATCACACTGGACTTGCAATCCAGCGGTCGCTAGGGTTCGATCTCCGGGCACGGCAGTTGAAAACAATGGACAAGTCTCAAAATCCCTTCACCAGTCTATTGTAGGAAAGGGGTACACACATCGGTTACATCATCGGCAAGTTGGGTGTGGTGGAGTAAAGTGTGCGGATACAGTACTCGCGCACATCGAGGACATTTGGCTGGTGTGGAAGAGGCAAAAAGAGCTCTCTTTGGTGGATGCCCTGCCACGAGTCGTGGGTAAATCAAGACATTTCAGGGCTGCACCTTTCCCACGTTTTAAATCTTTCAATGAATCACACATTTGCACGCTCGCCACAGAGGGCATTCGAATGTGGGGTTTCACAGAACAATGTCCAATCAACAGTGGACGTTGTTAAAGCCCCATCCGCGCAAGCTGCACGTTAAAGACCCCGTGGCAATTACTAAAAGTGAGCTGCCCTGTTTGTGTGCTTTTGTCAGACATTATTCAAATAAATCATGCATAATTACATAGCTATGAAATAAAAATCTAAGTGGCCTGTTTCTATTCTTGCAGGGAGTGAAAAGCTCCTTTTGTTCAGAGCCAAGGTTTCTCCCCCCCCCCCCCGTTTTTGGCCAAACCACTCCAGGTCATAATTTGCATACACATTATTAGACGGCACACACACAGCCCACCATCAATATATAGATAATAACATGTAATCAGGCACAGCCGATAAATTAAACACGGTAAAAAGGGGGAAGAGAGCTTCGTTGAAAACAAACACGCTCGCACAGTGGAAGCAATGCTCCGTGTGGTACACTACTATTTAGTTAGACAGCGTCAAATTACACAGCTGCTTTGTCGAGACAACGTACAATGGCATTAGGGAGAAATACAAAAACCTTGTACACACCAAAGCACTGTACTGTTACCTAGAGATGGGTCCCCCCCAACCCGTGGCTGCACTTGCAAGATAGCCTCAGCCAATTTGGGATGTGCCGACCGAATTTATTTAAACCCTTGGTACAGAGAAGGAAATCCGGCGAAGGAAAAGGGCGTTTCAAGGCCTTGCGAGGCAGTTGAGAGAAAATGAGCGACCCCCTCCCCCCAGTGAAGATGACTACCCCGTTGGGGTCTGGCGGGCAGCCTTTTAGAATAAAATGGACTTTGTTTCTAGTCGTATGGCAAGGCCAGTAACTACATGCGAGGGTGGTAAACCAAGCCCACGCACCTTTATATATTCACCGCATATACAAGCTCAACGAGTACAACGTTAGGGTGGATGAGTTACACATATGAAAAGCAGCCAGCGAATTCGTGCGTACAGTAATTTTTCATCTTTTTTAAAATAAAACAAAACTCTTCAAAATAGCAGGAGATTCGTGGCATACCAGCAGCAAGACCCAAGAGTTTTACTTCACCCATTAAGGGGCGGGGGTAAAAAAAATCCACGTTAAATTGACCGAATCGATATGTAACGTCCGGGGACGCATTGTAGGCAGCAAAAATGTTAATTGTTCAAAGTAGATTGTCCTGGAGCAAATCATAAGCACTGTACATGGGGAATATAAACAGGTGTAGGAGTAGTCGTGAAGGTGGAAGATTTGGGTAATGGGGGTAGGTTGTTTGCAAATACATAATAAAGTGCTCGCTCATTCCGACATAACGACTTCTGTAAGCGAGAAGTGGTTATACAAAAAAATACGCACACGCGTGAACACCGCATAGAGCATAATAGCGGCCCTAAAAAAAACACCACCACCAAATCTGCAAACCACGCCAACTAAACAGGTTTAAATAAAAATGTAACGTGGAAATAATTTGGTGTCCTCCTTCGATACTCGAGATTGTCACAAAAAGCGCTGCAAGTCGCCCTGAATAAGCCCGGTCAAGTGAAGAGTTTCTCGAAATATTATAATTGGTTTTTTACCCGGCAACAAAACTGACACCTTTTTTTACAAGGAGTCATGTTTGCATTGACCACAATACCTGCAGATTGCATTGACCACAATACCTGTAGATATTGTGGTCAATGCAAACATGACTCCTTGTAATAAAGGTGTCAGTTTTGTTGCCAGATAAAAGGGTAAAAAAACAATTATCATATTTTGATACGGGTAAATGAGGTTCCAATGGAGTTTCTCGAAAGCCGAGGAGATGCTGTTGCACCTGGGAACGACGGTGAACAATACGTTGCCGATGTGGGCTCGTTTGCCCGAGGGGACTGGGGGAGATGGTCTACGCGTCTGGCAGCAGAGGGCAGCGGCAGCAGAAAACATTGTTGTACTCATAATCAACGTTTTTGGGTTTAGATCGCGTTATTTATAAATGTGTCGTAACCCTCCACCACCCGACACGGCCAATCAGTAAAAAAGTGTCACATTGACAAAAGACAAATAGTTCACTGATGTAGCCCACCGGTGTGTTGAAGCGTGAAACCACAAGATTTACAATTTGAGTACATTGTTGTACTGTAGTTCCTATGCGTACCTCGGGAACGTCTAAACCAGGGGCGAGGAACCTTTTTTTTCTGCCAAGAGCCATTTTGGTATGTATAACATCATTCGCGGGCCATACAAAATTATCAACTTCAAAAATTAGCCTGTGAAATTTGGTCAAACATTTCATTAGCTCACCCCTAATGCGATGGCTGGAACTGCTTCTCTTTGGTGAGGTGTGTTATGTTAGCTGGTATTGATGATGTTGCTGCTACACGCAACTTCTTTTCCAGATTTGCTCTTAGATTTATTGAATTTCGAGTCCCACCTGCGGTTGCCTTGGCAGGGCCACACCAAATGATTTCATGGGTCTTGTGCAACCCGCGGGCCTGACGTTCCCCACCCCTGGTCTAAACCCTTCATCAAATCAGCACGGATCCCAGCCGGTGGGTTGGCGAAGCTTTGGTCCAAAATACCCGGCATGGAAATGTTTCTCTAAAGTAGATTGACATCCGAGTGGGGTTTTCTTGTGCGTCTGTGCATATTTGCGATAAGAATTTGAGTTGGGTGGGCGAGGTGGTGGCGGGGACGACTTATAGCCCGTGGTATTTCACGGGTAAAATTACCAATTTGTTGTAAATAGTCATGGTAATTACACCATCTGAATACGTAACTAAAAATACGTGAGAACGATTCGATGTGAAATACCGAACAAAGGGATAGATACTACAGACCGACAACCATAATTACCGAACTACACCAAAAAAATGTCTTTCGCATGCAACGGTGGCACTTTTTCTTTAACTCAAAACTTAAATATGGGTATAAACGCCGCAAGAAAACCCGTAGATAATGTTTAACAAAGGCTTTTGCATTCGATCGTAATTAGACGAACACGTTTTCTCGTCGCACAATGGCAAATATGGCAAGCGCATGCACAAATTCCAATCCGCTGACACGCGATAAGTTAAACCACCCCCCATTACAATTATTTATATATAAAATAGATACCAATTCAACAATAGCGTTATTATACGTACATTGCTCGACCGCACATCTTAAATTGTATTGGTTTGTGTCACAGACGGGTCCCGTTTCTGTGTAACGCAAGCGACGGAGCCTTAGACAATAGCTCTGGGCAAAACGACGTTTGACTGTACCAACAAATTCTTTTTTTACGGTAACATTTTTTGTTTTACGCTCGAAAAGCCGACGTTTAAACAACATGCGATTTATCAATTTGTCATTTTAAATATTTAAAAGAAACTCAATTTTTGTGTCGCCTCACCGAGGCTGGGTTAAAAAAAAAATAAGAATATACCACTCACCATATTTGCTCGAGCGGTTCTTCTTCACACGTACTTAAAAAAATGTGTTATTAAATATCTTCGCTCTATATACTTCGCGTTGTATTAAGTAGTTATGTTTTTTTCTCTTTCTCTCTCTTACACACCAACAATAAGCGTCGTCTACGACCGCGACCACACAATGACGGAGCGAGAGCGCGCAAGAGACTTTGGGCGTGGGACCAAGACGAACGGTTCAGGCAACTCCCCCCCACCCCACCCTTTATAACGACATCTCTGATTGGCGGAGACACCATCACGTGAGCTCGTTCAACCAATGGGATCGCGTGTTACGTGCCAGACCGGTGGGGGCTCTTTCCGTTGCTCGCGCGCGCGCGGTCGTTTCGCGTTTTTTTGTTCGACGGTGGCAGACATCTTCCGGAAGAAGAAGCAATCTTCCTCTTCCGGAAGAGACGTACTTTTCCTCCCCACGTCTCACCACCCACACTAGATCTTCCGGAAGACGTCTTCCGGTGTCCCGCTGCCCTCATTGCATCCAAAAAAGGAAGTGCGCTCTGCCGGGAGGGCGTGGCCTGACCACGCGACCGTTAACGTGGAGCTCTGCCAAGGGGGGTCGTTAGGAGGGTGGGAGGTGGGTCAACCAAGTAAAATAAAAATAAAATAAAAATCACGACGTTTATTAATTTTAATTTTTTACCTACGTGACTTTACCGAAAAAGCCTAAGAATATGAATACTTGCAGTCACGAAAGCTTCAAATCTAGAATCAACAAGAGCGCCTTCCAGAAGGGCCTTTCGGTAAAGTCACGTAGGTAGAAAAATCATTTTAAAAATCACGTAATTTTTCTGTCGGTGTGACTTTACCGAAAGAGCCAAAAACTATCTACGTGATCATAGGACCTCTTTTGCCAGTACCAAAATATGAAAATAGGTTTTTTCCCCTTTTTTCTGGCAAAAAGTACGCCTTTTGGCATCCTCTGGTCTAACACCGTTTGAGACGAGGCTCAAAAGAAAGCTGTCTCTGGTGTGGACCAATCAGTTTCAAGGACAATGTATATATTATCAGAGTATGTTTTTTTGTTTGCAATCTGACCACAAGCGTTGTGGTTAATGCAGACATGATTCCTTGTAAAAGGTTTCAGTTTGGCGTTTTAACATCTTAATACCTATTTTTTTGCCAGAAAAAAAGGGGAAAAACCTGTTATCATATTTTGGTACTGGCAAAGGAGGTCCCATGATCACGTAAATAGTCTTTGGGTCTTTCGGTAAAGTCACGTCGATAGAAAAGAATGTGATTTTTTTTTTAATCTACGTGACTTTACCGAAAGACCCAAAGAGGATGAATTCCTGCAGTCACGAAAGCTTTAAGTCAAGATTTCACGTAGATAAGTTCAAAGAAAAGAACAAAAAACTACGGCTTTTCGAATTTAATTTACTCTTGACGATGATAGCTTGTGTTGTGATCGAAACGTCGTAGTTTTTTGTTATTTTCTTTTTTTTCTTTGAACCTATCTACGTGACTTTACCGAATGACCCAAAGAATATGAATTCCTGCAGTCACGAAAGCTTTAAGTCATGTGATGATGATGTTGGGGAGTTTAACGCGTAAGGAGGCTTTTGCGACCAATATCATCAATAATAGAGGGTTTGTTTTGGGTGGGGGGGGGGTTAGATCACGTAAATATATAAATGTGTCGTTAAACTCGCCACCACCCGACACATCATCTTTGACCACGTAGTTTGAGAATCTTTCCATGGCTGTACCAGAGGAATTGCCATCTGATACAAATACAACAGGAGGCTGATCGATGCTCGATCGAGGGATGGCTCCCTATTGGTCAACTATGCCGATGATTTGGTGATTGCTGCTCACTCAGAAGAGTTGGAGGTGCTAATGCTGAACCCGGAGTGTGCCACTAAGAGGCGGGGTCTTACCATCAGCCCCACCAAAATTAGGCACCTGCCTGGGTATTCTGTGGCACCAAACACTCCACCCTGTCAGCTCCCCATTGGTGATGGAGCAGTTGAGAAAGTGGAAAGTTTCCCATACCTGGGCAGTGTGCTTATGACCAGCTCCGGTTTGACAGGTCTCACTCTGAATCAGTCGGGCATCATTTTCTTTTCATGCCAAGCCACCGCATGTCCAAGCAGCTTCTGTTTAACCGCATAGATGGGGATTAACGGGCACAACATGGGCTGGAGAAGAGATGGACTGATGCGGTATGGGAGTACATGAAGCTGAGTGGATTTGCCGACGTCTGGTACCAGCGGTGTCAAGATCGGCCTCTATCGAGGAGGCTCGTGAAGGATGCTCCTGGGCAGTTGAAGGCAGTTGCCCTCCAGCAACAACGGAAGGCAGAGGAGCGACGCTCACAACAATGACTGGAGTGTCGGGCAGCTAAAATACAGCAAGTTGGCACAGTAGGGGGTACAGCTGGTGCATCTACTGGTAATCTCAGCCAACCCATGGCACCTGGGTCTGTCCCGAGACCTCCTGTCAGTGAGCCTTCGACACTTCACGTGGCCTCAAAGTGCACCTGGCCTGGCACAGGCTCTGTGGTGACGTCAGCGTCACTTAGTGGAGAATAGCGGGTATAGGTATTGATTAATTATCTGAACCGGTCTTTAGTCCTCCTCTAGGTCGACTCAACCTCAAATGAGTACCTGGTACGATGTGTAAACATTGCCACTACACGGGGGATCTTTGTCTTTGATGATGATGAACATCTCCATAAGAGTTAGCCGTCTTTGAGAAGAGGAAGACTTCGTCCAGAAGGAGAAAACATCTCGCAGAAGAATAATTTACCCTCCAGAATGATGGTGATATGATGATGATGGGGATAATGATGATGGTGGTGGAGGCTATCTTCCACAAGAGGAAGCTGTCTTTCACAACGATGTTGAAAATTTTATGTTGATGTTGTTGAAAGACCTCTTCTAGAAGAGGAAGCTGTCTTTCCAATGAGGAAGACACTTCCAGAATTATAAGGGTAGTGGAAGACTTATTTTATAAGAAGTAGGTACCTGCCACAATGATGGGTGATGCACATGGATCGAGTTGTGAACTCACAGGACACTCACCATCCTGTGTGTGGGTTTGTGTAGTACTTTATAATAATATAATACAGCGCAGTAGTCGGGGTTGATTTTATTTATTGCGGGACGCTTTCCAAACCCGCTGCTACACTGGGGATAGGGCGGCACACGAAGAGTTATACGGACAAAAAAACAAGTTTTGTCTGCGTTTCTCCCCTTGTGATGGGACTATGTTAGGATGAACGTTGACATTTTTTAAGGGCACGGGGTGACCGTTACGGTCTGAATTGGTCTGTTGTATTAAGGTAGGGCACTGATCAAACAGGTATGACACATCCCATGTGGTGTGCCGGTTGCAGTTTTTATTCACTTGGCCTTCGGATGAAATCTAAGGCGCTGTACAAGTCGACCGTGCAGTATCGAGTCACGGAACTGACCGCCGTTTACGTACATGCGGCACTTTTGAAAGCGCTGCAATTCATATGCAAAGCGCAGGACGCACACAAGTAGCGCCTTATGAGGAAGCTTGTTTTGTTATCAATACATTTTTTTTCTCACATTTTCGACCTTTCCACATACGCTAATATATTCATGGTTTTGCATTTGAATTTGAATTTTTAAAGCACAGTAAAGGGTTTTCCCCGTGGTTAGAGCCGTATTGCCCTTGATTTTAACCAGTAACAAATGGTTATATATTCACATATCCGACTGCAGGCGCAGCTACGCCTTAACTTGTGGGATCAATAAGTCTGACGCGTGTTTGAGGTGTCTTAACTCAGAGTTTTTCTTTATTCTTATTTGCACAAATACGAGCGTTTTCTAAAGTTATATCTTCGCCTGTTCACGTACTGCATCACCCTGTCGCACGGTAACAGAATGTACCCCGACCCTCTGTGTTGCATTACATTATATTTCAAAATTTTGCTAGGTTTATTTGATTTAGTGTACTTTCTCTGTCTCCACTCGTTTTGCCCTTCTTTGTTCTGCTCTGTGTCTCGCCTGGTGTCCCTCTCACTCCCTGCAGCGTGCCACTCATTGACATGCTAATTTCGCTAACCCCTCCCTCTCTCTCCTACCCCCTCTCTCTATTTAAGGCCTCGACACAGAGACGTGGTTTCTCTGTGTGCCTATGTACGTCTCTCTATATGTCTCTGGTTCTGTGTTTTATCTCTCTCTCAAATTCAGCATTCTCAGGAAGAACGTAATCAACCAGATAGGGTGTTGACTGTTATGTTATCCGACTCTCTGTTGTATTACATTACATTTCTAAGTATACTAGATTTGTGTTTCTATTTCATTTATACCTGATGATGATTGCTTGTGTTGCAATCGAAACGTGGTATGCTAGTATTTAATTTATTATTTTCTCTTTATATGTGACTTTACCGAAAGAACCAAAGAGTAATTCGTGCAGTCACGAAAGCTCCAAATTAAGTAAGACCGTACCCACTCGCCCCCCCCCCCCCTTTTATACTGTGAAACCGGAAGTGACGTCATGGGTTCAACCAACGGAGCGTCTAACCACAGGGGGGTTTCTAAACAGTTTGAATATTCCAAATCAAATATAACCAGTCTGTTAACAAATGTATGACGGTTGTACATGAAATGTATATACAGAAATAATACGCTCACTTTCTGTCTCATGGCTCTTACACCGACCTCTTAAAGTATTATTACATTGTGGGATGGATGGTAAAGAGGTGGTGGAGGCCTTCATCTAGCAGTGGATTGACCACTGCTGCCGACGATCGTTGCAATCCTGCCAAGTGGATGAAATGCGAGGCATACCATTTTTGGTGTTAACGACTGAAACGATACCGTGTATGGTGTTACGGTCACTCGGCAAAGATAAGGAGGGCCCTATCGGCGATAAGCACACATTGACAAGCGGGTTGCAGTCTCAACCTTCGAACCTGCGGGTCTTGGGGAGAGAGGGGGGGAGGGGCATTGTGTGGAGGGTGGTGAAAGAACACCCAACCGGTGAAAAGGTGTGAGTGAGGAATACCTGTCAACCCATCCCGTATTCTTACGTAACTTAGTTTTCAGGTCCATATGGCGCACAAAAAATTAACTTAATTTTTGTCTATTTGTTTGTGTTTCTCTCTTGTGATGGAACTTTGTAGGATGAACGTTGAGATTTATAAGGGACACGGGGTGACCAATACGGTCGGAATTAGTCTGTAATAAGGTAGGGCTCTGATCA